TTTCATATTTTTTATGTGATGTTTAAGATTGGATTGATATGCAATTAAATATGAATCTTAAGATATTAGATATGTAAATACATAATAATTGTGTGGTATGTATCTAAATGCTCCTAATTATAATATTAGAAAATTGTTTGAACTATTTTTGGGAAATATAAATAATTTGTTGAATATAAAAATTAGAAAAAAAAATTGCACCAATTAGGGTAATAATATAATAGACGAATATGCAAATTATTATTTTTTTTTTTGCTGAAATAAAATATCATTATTATATGTTTCATCAAAGACTATTTTCTTTAACTATATACATGATCCATTGAAAAAAGATTATTTCTAAAAATACCATTAAATTAAGAATAATGAAAAGTTAGGTTTGTAAATTATAGGAAAATTTACATATATACCACAGAAGTCCTAAGTATTTACATATCTAACACCCAAATTTTGATATTTACATTTATAACATCTTAGTATCATAAATTTATGCATGAAATGTGCATTTCACTCTAAAAAAATAATGAATGTCATGTTTTTTTCAATTTGATGTTTAAGTTAGATTGATATGCAATTAATATGAATTTTTATATAATTTCATTAGTTTATATTTCATCAAATGCTCTTTTATTTAATTATTTATCTTATAATCTCACATGAGATTTTATATATTTTTCTTATTAAAAAAATAATAGTTGCAGAATGTGGTTCTCGCATGTGCCGAGTTGAAAAATTCAGCCCTCTTATTTAGAATGCAAATGTGAACGCTGTATTTGAAATGCTATCTAAGTCATAGTTGAGATTTGAGCAAAATATGTTTTTAATTCATGATATTAAAAACTAAAAAAAAAAAACATTATTTTAGGAAGGAAATTAAAAATTAGGAAAATTTACATAAAACCCCAATTATTCCCTGTGTATTTACATATATAGCAAGTAAATTCTAATTTTTACATATGTCATCTCTTTTATGCATGAAAATGAGTATTCCATTTTTTTGAAGTAAAAGTTTTGGCTTTAAATATATAAATACAAAAGAATTGGGTGGTCTATATGTAAATGCCCGTGTAAATTAGTAGGCAAGACAAGAAACGAGAGAATCTACATATGCATAAAAGTAAAATCACGCAAAAACAAATTATAAATTATTACCGTTTATTCTGTTATGATTTGATTTTGAAGGATATAATTTGGGAGCATTTACATACATACCACACAATTCTTATGTATTTACATATCTAACCCCTAAACATATATATTCACATGCATATCATTCAAATTTTTAACATCATATCAAAAATGCTATCATCACTATCTTTTATAGAGTGGAATATATTTTCAAGCATAGATAAGGCCGCCAAGTATAAGTGTACATATCAAACTTTGTGTTGGATATGTAAATACAATGAATTGTATGACATGTGTGTAAATTTTCATATAATCTTTACATTTGATATTATTGACAAATTTTTTTAACATGGAACGAATTTGTATGCATTTTTATAATGTTAAAGCAACTAATCATTCAGGCAAAATCATGCATATATATTTTCTTTAAATAAATTTATGGTCCAGATAGTGCAATACGATAAGATGAAACTAACCATATGGATAACAAATGGACTTAAATCAATCAAACATTTGATAATTTTTAGGAGACAATTCCAACAATATGGTCATAATGACGGCAACTTTCACGTTCAGAGTCAAATATCTCTCAAATTTTTGTACATTTGTAGATTCACTTAGCCTGATTTGTTTGGGCTTTTAAAACCAGCTTTTATTAAAAATTCCATTTTATAGGTGTTTGATTTGACCATTTTTCATCCCGTGGTCGCGATCGCATTCCGATTTATTATATATTCACGACCGCAGACTGTGTGGTGCGTTTGTGGTTTGCGAATAAACAGTTATGTAAATACCTTTGATCCCCTGCCTCGCTTCATCGTGCCCTAGCCGCTCGAGAAGGTTTGCAACGATAGCCTTGCCTTGCTTCGGCTCTTATCGTCTATGTTTCGCCGTAGGTATGATCCTTGTAAAAATGCACGTACTTGGAAAAAGGAGTCTCGAGTCTCCTTCAACTATATTCTTCTACTAAACCCTCTCCCTTTTACATTTTTTTGTTACTACTCTTCTCCTGCATTCTTCATAAAAGCCATATCTAATTTGTTGAGGGGAAATGCATTACTATTATATTTCAAAATTTATGATGAGATGATAGAAAAAACACATTTTTTTTTTACAAGGAGTTTGAGCTTATGTAGATGGTCCCTCTGCATATTTTCCTTATTTATGGAATAAATGCAAGTTAATCTGAGCGTTTAGGAAGATTTACACACATACCATTCAATTCAAATGTGTTTACATCTATACGACAAAAATCTTCTATTGTTTTGAATGGTGGAGAACCTGCCTATGCTAGAATTGGTTTATTTTTTTGTTTAAAGATCGGATGATACTATTTTTGAATGGTATGAAAGATTTGGGTGGTATAATGGTTTTTTTTAAGAAAAAAGAAAGGAGAGTTCAGATGTTAGACACACGAACCGAAGGGAATTGGCTTGTACGCATGTACATACCCCTTGATATTTGGATAGATTGGTAGAATTGTTGATGTAGATGTTTTCTTGCTCTGTTTATATGGTATGATTGTAGACAACTCTTTTATTTCAGTTGTATGCAAGAGGATTTTGTATATACAAGCTTCAACCATTGCTATTTTATTTGAAGTGAGTTCCATATTTACGGGTCTAATAGTTTGGTGTGAAGAAGCTATGCATAAAAAGTTGAATTTCACCTAAAGTTACTAGCAGTGTTCCTAAGATTAAAATATTGTTATCTCCTTTCACTTTCATGCTTCACACTTGCGATAATTTATGTTGTGTATGTGAATTTGTAGCACTTACGTAGTATGTGGGTAGATATGTGAATTTATGCTGCATATTGATGACAACAACAATGTTCATGTGCCTTAAAGTTTTATGGTCAATATCTTCAAATCTTGTATGATCAATATAACAATTTAAATCGTATCTCAAGATGGTAGATACAATAAAAAATAGACAATACAAGAGATATCACATCATTAGCCATATGAGAGAAAAAAACAAAAATGATTTTTTGTGATATTTGCTTGAAAGAGATTGAGTTAGGAAATAAGCTGACAACACATTTTTGCAAAGAATGTTGGTAAAACATCACAAAAAATTTCAAACGAAAACGGGGACATTGTATGAGAAATCTCAATTGAAGAGCAAATGAGATCAATTAAAAAAAGATCAAAAAGTTTTTATAGAACTCAAAAGAGGATCCACTGGACTTGGTTGGGATCGAATTAAAACCATCGTAGATGCATCTGCAGAATGATGGACTAAGAAGCTACGGGTAAATTTAAAATTTTATTATATGTAATTGCTCATTTAATTTACATGTAGATGTATTAAGAATGATTTTTTCCCTCATTTTTTTTAACAACAAACTATTTCAAATGCTAAAAATTTATATTTGATGGAAAAAACTCTGAATTAGAGGAGAAGCTTGATCTAATGTTTAATGGAGTTGTTGTGACTGACGGTCAAACGATGATGGTTTGACTATGGCGATGGTGGTGGTTTGTTATTGGTGGTCTGACATGGTGACGAGCAAATAATGGTAGTCTGGCGATTGCGAAAGTGGTGGTCGAGCAACTGAGTTACAATGATGGCTGCAACCAACATTGGTGGTTTGGCAACAAGCGACGACCAAGCGGATGTGGTGGAGCTTGGGAACCATCAAAAAGCCTGTAACTCATTCAACTTTCTCCTTGAGTTCTAAACCCCCTTATGAAGAGAGTGAATGTCTATTTATAGATTTTGAGAGCAACATCATCCATAAATACTGCATGAATCTGAAGCAATCCATGAGACTGCTCTAAGTGATTCTCTTGATAATATATAATTTTATGAGTATTTGAATGTCTTAATAATGTCATAATTGAGTGATCATAGACTCATTGGATTTGTCTTGTCGAGACGGTCGATTTGGCTATACACTTATTAAATTTGGAGATCATTTGTTTATGCAAAATATATCTCAGAGCTTCACATTATGTCTTTAGTGTTTGATCTGGACTTATTTGAACTCGGATTAAATTATGTTGGATATATGCTCGCTCATTTTAATCAAAACTCTTCATTTGAATCGAAGTATAGATGATCAAATATTTGTATCTCTCATCAAAATATGTGTTGAGATTTGTGCAAATCAATACAATATTTTAGACAAATATCAATTGAAATTCAACAAAATCTAGAATTTTTTTTATGCCTCATAAAAAATTTGCTATTGAAATCTCATAAATTGACTTTTCAAAGCTTAAAAGAAGATATCTTCTCTCATATCATCACCCACAACTAATTCATCCATCCAATCTTCATATAATCAAATAATAAAAATTTCAATTATCTTCAACTAATATCGAGTAAAACACTTGAAATAAAATATCAAAATTTCCTTTTCTTTATACTAATTGCATTATTTATTTATTTATTTTAAATATAATTTTATTCAGTGTACTTGGTCTAGAACCGCTATAGATGCAGATATAACCAAAAACAACTTAATTTTATACCTTCTCTTTTTACCAAACTGCCACTAAACCCCCCTTATTTTAAACTTTCAAACCATCAAAAAAAAAATTAAATTAAATTAAATTTCATCATAACAAGAAACAATAAACAAGTCAGTTACCGGGTCAAAGCCCCACTTCAACAACCCGACCCGCACCCGACCCATAAACCATCACCGTCTCCACTTCCTTCTATAAAACCTCCATCCCTCCCCACCAGCTTCCTAAAAACTTCATCATTCTCTTCATGGCTGCCCGCGTCCATCTCCCCTCATCTTCCAAACCCGAATCAAACTCGACCTCCCACCCCCCTCTCCTCCCCTCCCCATCTCCCCGCTCCCATCTCCGCACCGCCCCCGTGGTCTCCTCCTCATCCTGCTGCC